TACTATAATTATAACAACACAACATGATCAACTCGTATCACAAGTGCCCGTAGGCTATAACATTTCCAAGGATTTCACGATGTTAATAATTTTAGCACAAATAACTCATGGCTCAACACAACATGCATAGTATCTCAATATCAACAACATGAATGGAAAAGTAACTTAGCAAGGAACATCTTCTTTAATCATAATTTCAGGAAAATAGATTAATGCCTCTTGATAACTTCAATTTAAATTTACTGTTTAAGAATAAACTCAGTAGTGCAAGTATTTCCACAAAAAGGCAACCCAACAATAAGAGAATTCGCGAAATAGTTAAAGTAGTAATAATTCCCAATAAGCATATAGTAGCAACTCGGCAAGTAAAGAACGTGACATGTAACTGCAACTCCAAACAAGCATGTAATAGTGGACATGGCGAATAAAGGATATAACAATTGCCAACAACTTCCAATTTAATACATAAAGATGTCTTAGAGTTTTAAACCGACAGAATTTTCACATATAAGCCCGAGCACGTACTCGTCACCTCACATACACGGCTTTCACATTATACAATTAGCACAAACGATTCAATTCCTAAGGTAGCTCCCCCACACAAAGTTAGGCAAGATATTTACCTCAACGAAGCTAGACTGATACTCTAAAATGACCTTCTCGCGTGAAATAACTTCCGGACAGCTCAAATCTAGCAAAAAAAAAGTTTATAACTCAATAAAAACTCATAGAAAACAATTTTGGATAATGAAACTTTGACTTTCCATTTTACACTAAAAAGTCAACCCTGGGCCCACACCTCCAAATCCGGCAAAAAAATATGAAGTCCAAACACCCATTCCGATACGAGTCCAACCATAACATATTCATCAAATTCCGATATCGAATCGCCCTCCAAATCTTCATTTTACATTTTTGAAAGACTTTATAATTTTCTCAATTTCTTCCATTTGATTCACTAATAAATGATAAAAATACTCTTGAAACTACGAAATATAATCAATTTCGGTTACGAAACACTTACCCAATTCAAACTCGTGAAGAACACCTCCAGAGTCACGCAAAACCTAGCTCCAAAATCCAAAAATAAATAAAAATATCGAACCCTCGAACTTAAGGCATTCTTCCTAGTTTTTCCGCATTTGCGGACACATTTTCGCATTTACGCCCTCACATTTGCGGACTCTACTTAATTGCCCAATTTTTGCATTTGCGGGATAATTTTTTCATCTGCGATATCGCATACGCGACCAAAAACTCCGTAGAAGCGGACGGTCAGCTCTCATTCCCAACTCGCAGAAGCTATCACATTTTCGCAGGCGCGCTCGCGCATCTGCGCAACTCCCTCCGCAGAAGTGGAACTTGCCACAGCACCTTCCCTTCACATAAGTGACGCATCCCTCGCATAAGCATGTCCGTATATGCGGCCAATTTTGTGCAGGTGTGAAGAACCAGTACCAGAACTCCTCAGCATTTCTTAAGTCCAAAATCATATCCGTTAACAATCTGGAATCCACCCAAGGCCCATGGGACCTCAACCAAATATATCAACACGTCTTAAAACATGATACAGACTTAGTCGAGACCTCAAATCATATCAAGCAACGTCTAAATTACGAATTGCACCTCGAATCGAACTTATGAGTTTATGAAATTTCCAAATTCTATAACTTGTGCTGAAACATAGCAAATTGATCCGGAATAACCTCACATTTTGCATGCAAGTTTTAAATGACACAACGGAGCTATACCAACTCCCAGAATAAAAATCTAAACCCGATATCAATAAAGTCAACTCCCGGTCAAACTTCTCAACCTTCCTAACCTTCAACTTTCCAATTCCACCGAAATGTATCAAATTAACCTATGGACTTCCAAATCTAAATTCGGACACACACCTAAGTCCAAAATCACCTTACGAAGCTATTGAAATCATCAAAATACTATTCTGAAGTTATCTACATAAAAGTCAAATTCCAGTCAACTTTTTTTCATTTAAGCTTCCAAAACAAGAATTGTTCTTCCAAATTAATCATGAATCATCCAAAAATTAAACTTGACCACACACGCAAGTCATAATACATAACATGAAGTTGCTCAAGACCTTAAACCTCCGAATGGAATGTTAATTCCCAAAATGATCGGTCGGGTCGTTACATTATATAAGGACCACATAAATTCATATGAATCAAATCAAAACAATTAGTGGACTTGATGCTACTAGTAGGAAATGGAAGTCTTGTCTGCTTTGCACATGGACAAATCGTACATTTATCTTACTTTCTAGCTATAATATCTGCATTTACATGAATAAGCTTCTTAAGCACTGTGGTAGACACATGACCAAATCTCATGTGCCACAGTTCTACATAAGTCATGTTTAGATTGGTATGTGAGTCTTCGATTCTAGCATCTAACATGATGTCTTCATTCCTCTTAGTTTCTGAGCATTCAACGATGTAGAGCCCACATCCTTCTTTACCAATCCCCTTCATTCTCCCACTGAAGACCTCCTGAAAAATACATAAATCAGGAAAGAAAGTAGCTGAGCACTGTAATTCCTTGGTTAACTTAACAACTGACAGCAGGTTATATTTAAACTGTGAAATGTGAAACACATTTGAAACTCAAATACTATATGATAATCTGGTAGTTCCAGTGTGAGTGACATATGCCAGGTCCCCATTTGGCATATATACTTTCTTGGGATACTGAGGTTGTTTAACTGTGGAACTGTCTATCAGATCTATATCTGCTACCATATGATTAGTAGCCCCTGTGTCTATTATCCATCTTGGAGAGTTAGAGGCTAATAAGGCATTGCATATACCTGCCACATTTGCTGAAGAACTGGCACCTGAGTTGGCAGAGGGCATTTTAATGAGCAGCTGCAGTATCTGATCATACTGTTCTTTGTTGAGAGTACAAGTTTTAAGATTGCCCAGTTGACTTAAGTTGGCACTTTGAAGATGCCATGAGGCCTGTTAATCTCCAGATTGGCTATAAGTTGTAGGATTCTGTGAGTTATTGAATTTTGCAGTGTTATCAGTAAACTCATTGTACCCCAGCTGATCAGTTTGTGTAGCACCATGTTCAGTGACCACATTGTAGGTTGTATTGTTACCAGTTCCCCTTCTCATCTTTGGCTTAAAATATGGAGGATATCCCACTAGCTTATAACAATTCTCTTTGGTATGACCTTTAAGCTTACAATATTCACAATGCAGATTATAGTTCTTCTTGAATCTTTGATTGCCAGTGGTTCTTGTATATAGTGTAGTGTCATATGTTCCTACATTTGCAACTGGATTTGTACATAGTATTCTAGTAGTTGTTGCCATTGATTTTTGGCTTTCATCACTAATAGTTATAGCATATACTTGGTTCAAAGTTGGAAGAGGGCTTCTCATAAGAATCTGACTCCTACCCTGTGCATACGACTCATTTAGCCCCATCAAGAACTGATACAACTTCAGTTTCTGTAAGTACACCCCAAAATCTCTGGATTTTGGGCAATCAAAACCTGGGGATGGTATTAGTGGCTCAAATTCTTCCCACATATCTTTGAGTTTTGAGTAATACACAGACACAGATGAAGTTCCTTGGTTCAAATTAAAAGATCCTGTGCCATCAATTTTGTTAAATCTTTCAGACAGATCACCCCAAACTACTTGTGCACTTGATGCATACATGATTCCTCCTAGCAAACCTTTAGAAACAGAATTCATGATCCAAGATAATACAATGGCATTCACACGTTCCCAGTGATTCCATATTGTCAAAGGAAAGTTTTTTTCTTACATGTTCCATCTACTAAGCCTAAGTTGTTTCGACCTAATAGAGCAACACGCATAGATCAATGCCAAATAGAGTAATTTTCAATGCCAGTTAACTGAAATGAGATCATCTGAATTTCACTTACATCCGTCGGCGACAAGAATAGAGGATGATTGTAATCAACTTCGGCGACTGAATTCACCCCATTCATCATGTTCCCATTGTTCTGAGTCACACGCTTCCCTGAACCAAGACCAGTTGTGGCCCCTAATATTTCTTCAATGGAACCCATTTCTTCAATTCCCAAATCGACACTTTCAGAGAAAAGATTGAATCAATAATTTTATTTTTCAGCTTCGAATTTTCGAGTAAAAGCTCTGATACCATGAAGTAATCTGCAGTGTACTAACTTATAGTTTCAAGAACAAAAGAAGGAAGAAGATGAGCGAGAGAGAGAGGATAGTATTCAGAGTTGTAATACTTCTGTTACTCACCAAAGAGTACAAAATGACATATTTATACACTAACTAATTTCTGATAATCTCTAACTGACTAACTACCTGAACTACCGTTAAACTAACTTAGTGTGTAATGACCATAATACCCTTACGTTAAATAGTTCATTTCTCGACAAAAACTAAGTACCAGTAATTATTAAATAAAATCTTGAATCTCAAAATTTTCAAACCCTGCTCTAATTTTGTGGTCTCTCCTCCTTTTTTTTTTGGGTGGAAGATTGAACTCTAATATCAAATCGTTACATTGGTTTCTCTTCTAGTTCCAATTCCGAGTTCAAACAAATTTTTCTTTGTTAAATGTATATATGGCTATGTACTAATTAAGCTTTATGAAGAGTAAAATGGGTGACGGATTGATGGTGAAGAGAGAGTGTTGTACTGCTTTACTACTTTAAATGCTACAATTATATTACTTTTGTAACCTTCTATATGTTGGCGTCCTTTCAACTTGCAATGGTGATTGTTATTACTTGTGGCAACCGTTCCAGTGTTTTTGGAAGAACATGACTTTGGAGAACATAAATAGCAATCCTAAATGAAAGTTTTTGTATTAGAACACAAACGAATAGAAAAAAAGGAAAAAGAGGCCAAAAAATAGGAAAAAAGATAAATAGTATGGAAGATGCCACATCAGCTTTAACTTTTTCTTTCAGGAAATTCACGCAGCGAAGGTATTCGTGTTTGGATGAAGGTTCAAGATCAGCCTCATGAAAATCTTATATTCCTTAAGAAATCATCAAAAACGAATTTTTTCAACAACCATGAGAAGCACGAGTAAATTCACTAGTTAAATAAACAAATCGTAGGACCAGTCCTACAATAACAAAACGAAAGCATTTGATTCTTTTTTCCTCTAATAAGAGGAATTACAAATAAAAATATTAATTATAAATTCAACAACAAATAAATCAAGGAAGGACGTACATGCACAAATTTAAGGAAATACACTGAAGGTTGACAACAGTGTTAGGAGACAGTTTGAATAAAGCTTGGGTGGTAGGAGAGCCATGTTAAGCTGCTGGAGCAGTCACAAGTAGCGGTGAACTATTAACAACTGAAGGAGGAGGAGGAGGAGGAGTCAAGAATTTAGGTAGTGGTGATGGTGGAGGAACTGAAACCTTAGGTGGTGGGGGAGGAAGAAAGGAAACTTTGGGTGGAGGAGGAGGAGGAACGGAAACTTTGGGTGGTGGAGGAGGAGGAATGGAGACTTTGGGTGGTGGGGGAGGAGGACTCTTTAAGATCTTAGGAGGAGGAGGGGGAGGACTCTTTAAGATTTTGGGGGGAGGAGGAGGGCTCTTAAGTTGAGGAGGATTAAAGGCTCTACAATTTCTTCTGATTTCTCCTGATTTCCCCATTAGAACTTGAGTGTTACCTAACTTGATCAATGCCTTTGCAAAAGCTTGTTGGAAGGCTCTTGGATTAGAGGCAAAATTCGCCACAATCCCAGCGGTTGATTTGTCAGATGCAAGTAACTGATCAACTTTCAATATTCCTTTCTTCAACCTTAGCTGTTTGTAGAAGGAGTTATCGACAACAAATGAAGTGTTTTGGTCCAAGAATACAGATGGGTCACCTCTAGAAGAACATGTCTTTCTAAGACGGTTAAACAAGTTAGTATCCATGCTGCCATCGGCCCTTGATAGCCTATCGGCTTGAAACAAACTACAATGTGTAATTCCGACGGTGTGGCCACCTAAAAGAGTCACCATGTCATTTATAGTAAAGCCTTTGTTTTTGAAAAATTGAAATGCTTGTGGCACGGTTACACTAGGGCCCGGCAAGTTCACTTGTGATGGGTCTGACACTAGCCCATCGCGCCTACCAGTGGGGATGCTGTAGCTCGGTCCTCCAGCTAATGCCACTGCATCTCGGGTGGCTAATGCAATGATGTCTGCACAAGATACTGTCATAGCACATGTAGCCTCTAATTTACTCTTTATCTGATCAATCAGCTCGTATCCTCGTACTGACCCATTTGCTCCTGCATTTTTTTCTGACTGTTTGTTCTTTGTGTTTTTGGAGTCTATCAATATTGAAGCATCGCAACCCTGAAAAGCAGAAATTAGGTGAATTACTGTCTTGTCCCAATGCTATAATTTGTTAAATTACAATGGCAACAAGCATATATATAAATTCCTTACCCTCACGAAACAGTCATGAAAATACATCCGCAACAATGCCGCCGTGATGGAACGATCCGCAAAGAACCGGCTTCGAACCGTATCTCGAACTATGGTTTCTGCTCGTGGACATCTAGCTTTAGTATTATAAAAACCAACTTGAAGTTGAGATGAGACAATTGCTAGCTGCAGACTAATGCACAGGAAAGACAGTAATATTATCTTCTTGTCCATCTTTTTAAGCCACCCCAGCTAATTAAGAAAGATTCCTTGATATCAGATTTAAGCTTAACTTGACATTAATGGGCAAAGAAGCCACAGCATTTTAAAGGTATATATATGGAGGGGAAATGGGAATAATGTGGTGGGGCACTAAGACGCGTTAGACTTTTGGAAGTCAAAGCATAACTGGGATGCATGTCATATTTTAAAATAATATTACCAGAATTTTCTGACGAAATACATTGTGTAATCACCTTCCACAACTTGAAGAAAAATAAAATACATGTAAGTTCAATCTATCTATTTCAGTTTTAGATTCTACTTTTACGGAAACACATTATATTTTGCATCGTATAGTTCTAAACATATGACAGTAATTCCCTCATATTATATAGTAGTATTTTGTTTTCTTTTGTATTCATTCCGTTCGAATTTGATAGTTGGTATCTACTATATGTTAATATTGACATATAGAACAGATAGTTGTAGAACAGTGGTACTTCTTTATTTGCCATAACTAAAAGTCTAAAACATCACCGAAAACAAATTGTTCATACTTTACTAATACTACGGGACCATAATTTTTGCCGTTCCCAGATTGAATAGTTAAACCAATGTTGCTTTGGACTGAAATAAATGTTACTCTGGAGTCTGGACCATAATCAGAAGAAAGGTAGAAAAAGCATGACAGAATCAACAAATAATATGATAAATATTCTACAAAACGGAATGAATAAGAACTACAATTCAACATGAACATATATTTTTTTTACTATACGAAAATTTTAAAATTGTGTATCACTTTGGGAACATTATTTGTATCTTTTCACAAAAGAAAATAATTGCACATATATAAGATTGATGTCAGATTCGGCTTGGATGCAACTTAACATTGATAAGATAAATCTACATAAACAGAATAAGTTACTGATATGTGTTAGTCTACAATCAAGATCATAGCAGAGGTAATATTCTAATCATACCTTTGTATTCTGACTTTTATTATCATATGTTATTTTTATTATTATAATCGCAGTTCTTTTCCGAACCATTCATTGCATTGAATGGTCGATCCGAAACAAAGAAATGCCGCGACGCACAATTTCTTAAGCTACTGTTTCTGCTTAGTGACTGCGCACAAATGAGAATCGTTTACGTAGTACAAGATTATTTTAACCACAAGTGGGAGAGGAGAAAAATACGTGGTTATGCAAAGACATGTCAATGACAATGTGAGTATAGTAGTTGGTACTTGGGAAGCACATATATAGAGAACCTTGTTTGAAATTTCAAAGGGGTAAGGCGGAGCTAGGATTTGAACCTTATAGGTTCGGGATTATAATTCATTTTAAGTCGTTGAGTTCTAAATTAATAATTTTTAGTTTGTACATATTCAATGGATTTATTAATACAAATACAAGGTTTGAACAAAAATTACTGGGTTCGGCCGAACACGCAACCAACATTGTGGCTCCCCCCGTAAACCACCGAATGGTTTGTACTTTTCTTCTATAAGCGCTTGATATTTCTTGGCTGGAGCTTGGTCTTCACGTGATGTTGCTGGTTTTTCTTCTTTTAGTTATCAAAAAGAAAGAGAAGGAAGATGAAAAGTACAACGGTTGTTATGTGTTTCTCTTAGGAAAATGGACGACCATTTTTAAACTTTCACTCAATTTTCTTCAGGGAAAAAAGGAACCATCGTTACGGCCTTAGGGGATGCTTTCTACTGCCTAGACGATTTCCTCCACAAGAAATGCACCTGCTAATACTTGTTGTAACACCTTGTTTACAAAACTTGTTTAAAACATCCCAAACTTTTGTTCATTTTCGTTCATCATATATAATGCACTAACAAGGAGGTTTACCAATAATTTGTGAAAACTTTCCTACCAGACTAAATTGTAGTGTCAATCTCATGTGCGAAGTTCAAGGAGAGGGATATGAGGCAACTTGAAACCTAAAATAAGAAACATTGAGAAAAGGCCAAATAAATATGCAGCCCCTTAAACTTGCCCAATTTTTTCATTTAAACACTTGAACTACCCTTTTTTCCCATTGAACACCTAAACGCAAGCTCTAATGTGCCTATTAAACACACACTGCTACCCCTTAAACTTGCCCAATTTTTTCAAAGCTCTAATGTGCCCATTAAACACACACTGCTGACATGGCAGTCGCAAACCTCACCTCCTAAAAGAGCGTGAATGGCTAAAGTTTTATTTTTAACCTTTTCGCGCGAACCTCACCTCCAAAAAGAACGTGAATGGCTAAAGTTTATATTTTTAACCTCTTTTCGCGCGAACCTCACCTCCAAAAAGAACGTGAATGGCTAAAGTTTATATTTTTAACCTTTTTTCGCGCGAACCTCACCTCCAAAAAGAGCGTGAATGGCTAAAGTTTATATTTTTAACCTTTTTTCGCGCGAACCTAACCTCTAAAAAGAGCGTGAATGGCTAAAGTTTTTATTTTTAACCTTTTTTTTCTCTTTTCCTACATCTTCTCTCTTCTCTTGACAGTCATTTCCACCACCATAACCACCAGTTTTTTTATGGGAATATCATCTATGATAGGGCTTGAAAAAAATCAATTTATAAAGTCTCCACCGAGTGCGCTGAAAAATAAAGATTAAGAATGAGGGCAAACTACTAAGGTTAATTACAAGCTACTAACTTTTTTTGTTATTTTTTATTAAAACCATCCATTTGACTTTCACCTCCTATGGTGGTGGGGGATTTGGCTTGGACCCCTACCATGTAGATTATTCCAGCCAAAAAAGGGCGGGGGGCATGTGAACCTTACCTCTATATACAAAAGTTCATGGTAAGAGACATTACAGATCTTATGCACTAAGGTACATTGAGAGTAAAAAAGAAGCATTTGGGACACATCAGCCATTGCTTTCATGGTGGGTTATAGCAGCAACTTGAGTGCTTTTTGGCTCTTCTCCTGAGGGATAGAAGTTGCATTTTGTTCTTAGTCGTATGCAATGTAAAGGCAAACTTTGCAAGTGCATCAGCCACTTCATTCCCTTCCCTGTAGCAATGACTAACTTAGATATTCTTCTTACTCATCTTTTTGAATGACCTACAATGGTATTCTGTAATCTTGAGTATTCCATTGATCATCTGAACAATTAGCATAGAGTCCAATTAGCATAGAGTCCAACTCCACTTCCAATGATGTGAACACCACGATATTCCAATTAAAACCGCCTGAATTGAGTTGGGTGTGCAAAGGCCATAACCAACTATTCTTCCAGCCCCAACCTTATTTTGATCTTTTATGTAACTATCATCGGTGTTTAGTTTCCAAGTGAAAGAGTGGCTCTTATAGGGCTACAAAATCAACTTTATGCAAATTTAACCAACTGAGTCGGTCTTTGGTAAGCTACTTGTGAGAAGGCACGGGAGAAAATATGTTATTGATATTGGATGATAAATACAATACAAGAGGTCCCTATTTATAGCTATACACTACAAGGAGATATTACTCCTCTTCCAATGTGGGACAAGACTACACTATACATATCTGTAAACTAACACTCCCCCTCAAGCCGGTGCATACACATCATATGTGCCGAGCTTGTTACACATGTAACTAATACGAGAACCAGAAAGAGACTTAGTGAAAATATATGCTAGTTGATNGAAAATATCTGCTAGTTGATCATTCGACTTTACAAACTTTGTAACAATATCTCCTGAAAGTATTTTTTCTCTGACAAAGTGACAGTCGATCTCAATGTGTTTAGTCCTCTCATGGAACACCGGATTTGACGCAATATGAAGAGCAGCTTGGTTATCACACACTAGTTCCATCTTGCTGATTTCTCCGAACTTTAACTCCTTGAGCAACTGCTTGACCCAAACTAACTCACACGTCGCCATAGCCATGGCCCGATATTCGGCTTTGGCGCTAGATCGAGCAACTACATTCTGTTTCTTGCTCTTCCACGAGACCAAATTACCTCCTACTAGAATACAATATCCAGACGTAGAACGTTTATCAAAAGGTGATCATGCCCAATCAGCATCTGTGTACCCAACAATCTTCTCGTGGCCTCGATCCTCGAATAGTAATCCTTTGCCTGGAGCTAACTTTATATACCGAAGAATGCGAACAACTGCATCCCAATGACTATCATAGGGAGAATCCATAAACTGACTTACAACACTCACCGGAAAAGAAATATCAAGTCTAGTCACTGTGAGGTAATTCAATTTGCCAGCCAATCTCCTATATCTCGTAGGGTCTCTAAGAGGCTCCCCCTGTCCAGGCAGAAGCTTAGCATTCAGATCCATAGGAGAGTCAATAGGTCTGCAACCCATCATTCCAGACTCCTCAAGAATGTCTAAGGCATGTACTTCCGCTGTGAAATAACAATACCTGAGCTAGACTGAGCGACCTCAATACCTAGAAAATACTTCAATCTGCTCAGATCCTTAGTCTAGAAGTGCTGAAAGAGATGTTGCTTCAGATTAGTAATATCATCTTGATCATTACCAGTAATAACAATATCATCAACATAAACCACTAGATAAATACACAGATTATAAGCAGAATGCCGATAAAACACAGAGTGATCAGCCTCACTACGAGTCATGTCGAACTCCTGAATAATTGCGCTGAACTTACCAAACGAAGTTCGAGGGGACTGTTTCAAACCATATAGTGACCTGCGCAATCTGCACACACAACCATTAAACTCCCCCTGAGCAACAAAATCAGGTGGTTGCTCCATATAAACTTCTTCCTCAAGATCACTATGAAGAAAAACATTCTTAATGTCTAACTGATAAAGAAGCCAATGACGTACAACAGCCATGGACAAAAAGAGACAAACAGATGCTACTTTAGCCACGGGAGAGAGAGTATCACTATAATCAAGCCCAAAAATCTGAGTATATCATTTTGTAACAAGATGAGCCTTAAGCCGATCAACCTGGCTATCCGGACCGACTTTGACTGCATAAACCCAACAACAACCAACAGTAGACTTACCTGCAGGAAGAGGAACAAGCTCCCAAGTGTCACTCGCATGTAAAGCAAACATCTCGTCAATCATATCATGTCGCCATCCTGGATGAGATAGTGCCTCACCTGTAGACTTAGGGATAGAAACAGCGGACAAAGAAGATATAAAAGCATAATGAGGTGACGACAGACGATGATAACTTAAACTGACATAGTGGGGATTAGGATTAAGTGTGGATCGTACACCTTTGCGGAGTACAATTGATTGACTAAGAGGAGACAAGTCCGCAGTAGGTGCAGAATCTGATGCGTGGCGTGAATCACTTGGGCATGATGCTGGATGTGGACGACGATGATAAATCAAGAGTGGTGGAGCTGCAGAAGGTTGAACTGTATTATGCGGAGGAACTGGAGCTATAGGTGGTGGAGCTACAATCGGAGCTGTAGGTGGTGGAACTGGAGCTATAGGTGGTGGAGCTACAATCGGAGCTGTAGGTGGTGGAACTGGAGCTATAGGTAGTGGAGGTACAACTGGAGCGGTAGGTGGTGGAGCTGGAGTGACTGAATCTCCAAAAGATGAAACTAGTAGTACCTCAGAAATATCTAAGTGATGACCTGAACCTGTGAAGTATGATTGGGTTTCAAAGAAGGTAACATCAGCGGACATAAGGTACCGCTGGAGGTCAGGAGAGTAGCATCGATACCCCTTTTGTGTTCTCGAGAAACCCAAAAATACACACTTAAGAGCACGAGGAGCTAACTTATCTGTTCCTCGAGTAAGGTTATGGACAAAACAAGTGCTTCCAAAGATACGGGGTGGAAGAGAGAACAAAGGTAAATGGGGAAACATGACAGAGAATGGAACTTGGTTCTGGATAGCTGAAGATGGCATACGATTAATAAGATAGCAAGATGTAAGAACGGCATCCCCCAAAAAACGCAACGAAGCATGAGATTGTATGAGTAGGGTACGAGCAGTTTCAATAAGATGTCTATTCTTTCTTTCAGCTACCCCATTTTGTTTAGATGTGTACGGACAAGATGTTTGATGAATAATTCCATGAGATTTCATAAACTGCTGAAATGGGAAAGACAAATACTCTCGGGCATTATCACTACGAAATGTGCGAATAGAAACCCCAAATTGATTTTGAATTTCAGCGTGGAAGGTCTGAAAAATAGAAATCAGCTCAGATCGATTTTTTATCAAAAATATCCAAGTGCACTTGAAATAATCATCAATGAAACTGATAAAGTAGCGGAATTCCAAGGTGGAACTGACCCAACTAGGACCCCAAATATCTGAATGGACTAAAGTAAAAGGTGACTCTACTCGATTATCAAGACACCGAGGAAAATGGGAGCGGGTATGCTTACTGAGCTGACATGACTCACACTCTAGAGCTGACAAGTGAGATAAACTAGATACCATTTTCTGAAGTTTTGACAAACTGGGATGTCCCAACCGTTTATGTAATAAATCTGGTGAATCAGTAACAGGACAAGTTATAGGAGAAAGACAAGATGTGAGTCCATGTGATTTAGCAAGGATAAGGTAATAAAGTAAGTTTGATTCACGTCTGGTACCAATGATCCGCCTCGTACTGCGTTCCTGTATAAAAACATGGTCATCAAGAAATAAAACAGCGCATTTAAGTGATTTGGCTAAGCGACTAACAGCTATGAGATTAAAAGGACTATTGGGAACATAAAGGACTGAATCTAAAGGTAAGGAAGGAAGTGGGCTTGCTTGACCTATTGCAGTTGCCATGGTTTGAGACCCATTGGCCATTGTGACTTTTGGAAGAGATTGAGAATACGAAATAGCAGTGAAAAGAGAGTTGTTACCAAAAATATGATCAGATGCGCCTGAATCAATGACCCAAGACTCAGAGGATAAAGATTGAGAGAAATAAATCACGCTATTACCTGTTTGAACAACAAAAGCTATCTCAGAAAATGTCTGCTTACATATTTTATACTGAAGGAACTCAATATAATCTGCTAAAGAAACCATCCGACTATTCAAAGCATCGGTTCCAATGTCGCTACTATTTGTAGTAGTAGGGTTAACTTGAAATAGTGGAAATATGTAACTCATGTGAGAAAACTGAAGAAATATCTTGAAAAACACTGTTTACAGCAGAAAAACAGAACATTGTTCTGCGCCGGAAACACTGTAGCTCACCGGAAAATTCCAAAGTTGTCGGAATTTATCGTAACCAGGATGGATAGACTCGGAATTCCTTTGCGAACAAACTGTCCTGAAGAAATGTTTTCAAAAAATGGCCAGAAAGGTCATTGTTCACGCCGGAAAAATATAAAAGTGGTCGGAATTTGATTTGAATTAGATGGGTAGGCTCGGAATTTTGAGGAGAGCACACTGTCCTGAAGAAGCTTCGCGAAAAAATGGTCGGAAAGTGGCCGGAACCCTCGCCGGAAAAGTTGTTGCCGGCGCGTGGAGGAGCGTGACGGCTTTTCTGCCGGATAAAATTTCAGGGGTTGGTCGTCGGAGGGTGATCTACCTCGTGGTGGTATTGGTTTTAGTACAACACCGACAGAAAGTGACTTTCACTTAGACAAGCCTTAGGTCACCGGAAAATTTGCACGATGACTAAGTTCTTTCTTCCCGGTTAACGCTGGAATGACGCACAGCGATCTTTTCTCACTAATGCTCTGATACCATGTGAGAAGGCACGGGAGAAAATATGTTATTAATATTGGATGATAAATACAATACAAGAGGTCTCTATTTATAGCTATACACTACAAGGAGATATTACTCCTATTCCAATGTAGGACAAGACTACACTATACATATCTGTAAAAAGCCTTTTAAAGATCCCAGGTCCATTATAAGTTGTATCCCTTTATTTTGAATACATTCAGTATCGGATATCTTTGGAGCTGCTTCCTACACTTTGTTATCATCTCCATCTTAGTTGGCGTTAATTCCTTCCTGAATTTCACCATCTTGAACTTTCTGATCATCCTTAGTTTCCTCTCTTTTCATTGCATCTCTTATCATGCCCTCAGTCATCTTCTTTTGCTTTTGTTTAACCCATATCCTCTTCTTGACCCTCAAAAAGGGGACTGTGGTCATCTTTTGCTTTTTCTTCTTCTTTTTTTTACGTTTGGATTTCAGTTTGAGTTGATGATATAGTTTGATCTACTGCTGGCTGTTCTTCCCGCATTTATTTGTTTTCGGCAACACTGTTGGCTGGAGCCTTCTCTTCTTCCTCTCCCTTACTAATGTTAAGAGGTTCGACCTTGTTCTTAGTTCTCCTGGTTTTCTTTCCAGTAACTTGAATAAAGCCATCTTCATCTTGTATATTCTGTTTAGCTTTGTCCCTAGTTCCTTCTATTTGGTTTCCAGATGACTTCTCTCTATTATCCATGTTGTTCTGTACTTCCAGCATATTCCCTGAGGTTTCTTCTCCCTTTTTCTCGTTCTTTCTTGTCTCAACCTTGTCATGTCCCTGCAATTTATAGGTTCTGCAGAATGCATGAACTCCCTCGTATTCAAGCTTTTGTTCACGACTTTTTGGACCAATTTCTTGCCCATCTAGTCCAACATAGTTTTTGGTAATGGTTTATTGAGGTCCACTTCCACTCCGACTTTGGCAAAGCTAGGCCTTGATCTTATGACTGCGGCAATATCTTCTTTCAGAGGAGTATAGGATTTGTTTCCCAATTAAATAGGTGATACTTTACTTCCGGCAATAATACCCAAATTGGGGCCAATGAAGTTTCTTCAATTGGGTCAAAATCTGGCGACCACTTGAACGTAATACGCATCAATAAATACATGCCTGTAATTGTAGGCACTAATTCTAACTTTACCTTTTAGAGGGATTTGCTCCAGGAATTTCGACCTTATGCTTTCAATCCTTGGTCTTCCATAAGTGAATTTTCCAACCATTGTCCATCTGCATTCATCGGCCATTATGCCATAGTAGTCATCTGCCTTGAAGATCACTGCCGGCATGTTGTGTGTCGCTGTCGGGCCACCACTAGAGAGCTAGGTTTTGGATTTTAGGGTTTCGATTGTGCTATGACAACATTTGCATAGTCAGTCTTCAGAGCAATTCCTTCAGTCGGGTTCATCGCCCCCCAACTGGGGGAGCGAGATTTCCAGTTGGACACGCCGATATAGTGCTGGCGTCGTCCCCATTGGAAGGCACGCCAAAAAAGTAGGCAGATACTTGTACGGAGAGCTTTTTTGTTTGTCAATAGGACACTTTATCAGTTCAATTTTTAGAAGCTACTAACTTTTTTTTGATTCCGCTATTGTAGTTATTGGTGGGGGGCGGTGAAATGCTGTATATCTTTTTCTTGAACTATTTCTTGAAGCTCATTATCAAATTCTAACATCTCGTTTAGACGAGGTTGAAAACAGACAAGAGGGGTTGATCAGATGGAACACCCCGCACCTACAACTTCAGGGTCGTGAGTTCGAGTCGCCAAAGAAAAATAGCTCCAACAAAAAGGGATCAAAGGGAAATCAAAGGGGAGGGAAATCAACCAAAAAAAAACTCGAAAGTATGTTACCCTAAAGAAATTGATTTGGCAGAACCAAAACTGGTCCAACATAAATATTTTAAAAAAAAACTGCAATAATATTTGCAAGCACAGTTAAGTGAGTTATAACTTCTTATGGTGAACTACTTTTCTTTTCCCCTCTTCCTTTATATATGGTCTCTACTGTTGATTTTCCTTGCCAAAAAAAAGAGGAGCGGAAGAAGAACGGACATTGTTATACCAATCATGATGTATAAAAGAGTAGATGTATTTAATTATGATAATACTACATTACAAGCGATGATAAATTGTTTGATGTATGCTTTATTGCTTGTAAGCAATTATGATATGACTAAGTTATAAGCTTTGATGATAATCTATTAGATGTATGCTTTGCTGCTACTTTTCACTGGACTTCTAGCCCTTAAAATAACAAGAAATGAGACCGATAGTTAATAAGGATAACTTCCACCTTAAACGCAATCGATTTGTCTTGGTACATCTTGTTTAAAATACCCATCTATGCAGACAGATTAGGCGTAATCCACAAATTAAACACAAATTCTCGCCTTAGATTTATACGATCAGATTTCAGGCAAATATACGATCAGGAAATTATCGAGCATGTCAATATTGTCTCAGTACATCTTTGTTCATCTCAGAACAGAAGCTAAACATTTTAGCAAGGCCAGCATGGTTGAAACAATTTGGGTAAAAACTAATACAGATATTAACCTTAAAATGAGCTACAACCCACATTGAGAGGGGTGTCACCTGATTGCACCCAGTAAATTTGCACCATCAAGCTTCGCCCCCTCCAAATGCTGAGAAAAGAAAATGAAATATTTAGTTGATTCAAATCTAATCATAGTTCCAAGCACAGACTATTAACAGTGAAGCTGAACCACAAGTCCACAACCACTCAAGTGACTAGCTCCATCTTTGTTGAACCTTCCCCTCTATTTCAGGCAAATATACGATCAGGAAACTAATATGGTCAAATTTTGTCACATCAGACACTACATTGCATGCTAGTACTAAAGAGGACATAAGTCATGGAATGGGAAGAAACCTCAACGCATACAACTAAAAGGAGTTAAGGAGCTCCCAAAATTCATTGTTCATACTCTTTCATAAAACTCCTTGGAATCTCTCTAGATGGAACCACACTTGATGGTCCAACAGCAACAGTTAGAGGTCATTTGGTTACCGGGATAAGGAAACTAATCCCGGGATAGAATTTGGAATTGTATTTATCTCATGTTTGGTTATGGGTAAGCTGGTGTGGGATAAATTTTATACCAAAATGGTGGTATAAGCTATCCATTATAGAATGTGGGATAGCTAATCAGATGGGATATCTTTGTCTATCCCACCCGGTAACCAAACGATCCCTAAGGGAATTACCATGCAAGTTTTCTGCAGCTGACCTCAGATATGACATGCTAGTAGAACAAAGATGGTCTCAGAATAAAACACATAGCCACACGTATGCCTTGGCTGATGAGCACCCAGTGCAACGTAAATGATTCTGGTTCTTATATGTCATGCGTACTAATTTCTGGGGCTGCAACTAAGCACATTATTTGATAGGTTGTCTCACAAACTTTACTTCACAGTGCCACTTCTTTTAAATAAGAGTGGTGTCCGGACCAGCATTTGCACACCTTGATTATTCGACAAGGTACCTGCTACCTCCCGTAAGCATAGGTACCGGATAACTCTGCCCATCAAGCTAAGGCAGAGTTAGCGTGGGATTTGAACCCTGGTCTGCACCCACTTCATAGGCTACTAGGTCATACCTTTAGATGCCAGATGTCACATATTCGTAACTAAAATATTCTGCCTTTAACAATTTGAGTGACAAGACACTTAAGTAGTCAAAGATTAGAATGTAAATTCTGTTTTACTCCAAAACCTAGTGCTAGATATTGAAAAATGGTAATGTTGACCTCATGCTTCTTTACCCATAATAATACATAAAAGTTCCATCTCAAAAAATAATACATAAAAGTGAAAGTAAGAGTTAGTAGTCACAATTAAGAAAATGCAAATACATCACAGGTAAGCTTGAGAGGTTGGGCAAGTAATTACTGCAAGAAAGCAACTTGAAATCAATATGGATTCATGAGAGAGTAGCCACACAAACACCCAAAAACTCAACGGCTTGAGTTCGAGATGATATTCAAGTAGCAAATTGTGGGAGAGATATTGACTGATGGCAGAGATCTGTCATTCACATATATTTAGCAACTCATGGTTACTAGCATTGCAATAGTTGGTGAGGTCAAATGCACTGCTACAAGTAGTTTGAAGTTCAAAGACTGAGATCTCACTGGAGTTCCTCATGATACCAATATAACTTCAAAATATTCAAGAAACTTTGATTGAACTACAATCAACTTTCTTTCTTTCCAGATGGAAATTCATTGGATGAAATTGGAAAGCAAGAACATTCAGCNCCCCCCAAAAAAATAATTCCCACATCCATGCATCGTAAAACCAACCTAAATGAGGATTAAATGAAACATACAGAAGAAATCACAAAGCTCTTTGATTCTCAGTGGTAGTGACTTACCGTATCACGAAGATTTACATGCCGAAGATAAGCTCTTTGAAGATTTGCACCCTTCAGATTTGCATTGGTTAACTTTGCACCCTGGAATAAATTGTGGAAATTAATCAAGAGGCATTAAAGGAAATTGAATCCTTGTTTGGATTCACAAGAAAAAGTAATAAGCGTAGCTGACTCGTCATGAGAGTTCATATACTCTTTTGGATGAGTAGACTATAGGTTCAGAGTCCTCTCACTTTTTATTAATTTTTGTACTGCCAACCCTTGGTGCCCCTCTATTAATGCCTGCACTTACTATTTATAAATCCCAAAGAGAAATGGGGAAGGGGGGGAGGAGTGAGAAAGATTCTGTCTGCAAAGTTCAAGAAAATTTTGAAAACTAACAAGAGATATCTTCCAGACTGTTCGTAAGACTCTTTTACTCAAGTTAGTGGAGGGGGTGGCAGAACCTCTTGATTTGAGATGAAAGAGGGATCTCATTGCATTATGCTTTAGGTGGTATAGACTAAATTGGGTGTTGCAAGTGCCTCATTACAACAATAGATTGTGAATGCCCGGTCCAGGTGAAGAAAAGGAAAGGTTTGGCTGACATTGATAAGCAAGTAATGTTTATGTAGGACAAAATCATCACACATGGGAAGGGACGGAGGAGTTTCATGACTTATAAGGTAGTGTCTAGGTATGGCCGTCAATTTAGGTTAAACATTCCATGACTTGTGAACTTTAGCCCTTAGTGGTTAGTAACTCAACCCCTTACCAGTTAATTGTTAAGTTCTGCAGGTCGGGCCTAGACAAATAACATAATACATGACGAAGATGCTTAAATAGAAGGCCCCATGTGTTACTATATTAGGATAATATCTTAAATGCTTTCACCGTAGCAAATAAAAGCAGTTTGAAGCTGTAGAAAGAAAGTGTATAAAGGCTGTTGAAAGGTCACTTATTCCTATTTCAAGAAGCTGTGGTCCAAGCAGGAAGCAAAACCTACATGGAGTACTCTACAATCCTTGTTAAAGAACAGTTTGTAATATTTTTTAGCAAAAATGGAACGAAATCTAGTTGGGTCGAGTGAACTTCCAGTGAATTATAAGCAAAAAATATTTTAAAAGTCATCTTTTACCTTCAGATTGGCGCCTTCAAGATTCGCTCCTTCGAGATTGGCATTGGTAAGATCAGCCGTCTGAGAGTTTGAGAATAAATAGTAATTTATCATGTTCACAATCACACAAGCCTCAGAATAAAAATGCTGAACAGAGTTGTAAAACTCGGGTGAGAGCATATAAACAAAGGATAAGAATCTAGGCCTCTCATTGCAAATCTTACGTTCACTCAGTTTCTACCACCAAAGTTGAATAAGAATTATATTTAAAAAGAATCAGAGACAGGGGCTGTAATAGAATATCTTGTTCAAGAAAAGATGTAAAAAAGGATGGGATTAAGAGGATGCAGCCAAAGAATTTAACCTGTAGGTGAGCTGAACGAAGATCCGCCCCACAAAAGCTACAGCCTATTAGACAGGCATCTGTATTTAAATAAAGAAGGATTATCATAATAATAAAAATGACAGACAGAAGGACAATATCAAGAAAGAACATATATTCTTGATCACAAGCAGACTGTTCATGCTTTACATGTGAAAAGAAAACAGCCTGCTAAATCATCAGGAAATATTTTAAACAAAAATATATGCCGATTTCATACATAGTTTAACAGTATTATATAGGGAAACGATCTTGTTTCTTTTGCTTTGTTGATCAAGCATAGAAAAATTAGGTTTGGCTCCTATTAGCGGCAGAATTGCTATTCAATTTTTCTAATCTGTCTATATCCAAAACAATGAAGTAACTTGGCATTGCTCTGGCTAAATTCAAAAGAATGAGTCAATTAGGCATTCCTCTCGACTAATTGAAAAAATGCTTTTCATGTTTTCTTTTTCGTATAGGGACACAACATAATACTTCGATGTAAATTACTGCTAGAGCTAACCTAGAAACAAAATTTCCTAATTTAAACATCCAAGAGAATCATTGACTAGCTTTCAAAGTACAGAATAAGACAGCAAACAAATTTAATAAAAGCAAGAACATCTGTAACAGCAGCAAGCCAACACTGAAATTCTCCAAATGATTAAAGTTGAGGACATTGAGGAGTAGTTGAGTGATTGATTAAAGTCAAGGACAATCATCAATGAGATATTAGATTTACAGCAAGTTTGTAGGTAATTACACATAAGTGATAGTTGGGAGTTAGCAACTCCCTTAAAATCCACAAACTATTTCTAAGGTCAGACTTCAGGTCTAGTGAATGGTAGCGCGTGTGGTTTCTTTGGCAGCTCGAGCAACTTGAGCCAGTGGGATCCATTATACCCCATGCTTTTCATTCTGGTTATGGAAGCATGAAGTAGAACGATGGATAATGTAGTGGTAGGTGGTTACTGAGAGACTTTTCTTCAGCGATCGGGGGGCTACGTACGGTGAGGGGGTTTCACATCTCTTGTCCGCTGACGACACTTTAGTTTTCTGTAATGCGTACATGGATGAACCACTGGATTATCTTAGATAACTTCTTATAAGGTTCCCGCAGTGTCACTGTCAGGCCTCAAGATCAAACACAGGAAGTGAGACCATTCCGGTGGATGAAGCGAACAATATTGAAAATCTAACACAAGTGCTCAATTGCAGATTGGAGCTCTGCTAACTACTCATCTCTGGTTACCCTTAGGTGCTTCCAATAAGGACCAAGCAGTGTGGAATCCAGTGATTGAGAGAATTGAAAAGAGGCTAGCATTATGACAAAAGTGTCACTTCCTTTTGGATGTGGACTTTGGAGGATTATTATGAAAGGATGGGAGGACTTCTTCAGCAACATAACCTTCAAGGTGATGAAATTGGGTCCTGTGGAGGGAATGAAAAGGTGAGTTTTCGAGGAGATGGAGTGTGCCCATGTACATTTGAGGAATAGCCTCTCATTTTTAGTTTTTTTTTTGGTGCGTCCATGAGGTTCCAGTTTGTCTAGAAGATTGGTTTTGCACCTACAGTATCACACTTTGATGTAGATTCTCTACTTTTTCATATACTACTTGTATGCGGGAGATTTTCCCATTATTAATGAAATGCAAGGTAAGGTTGCGTACATAAGACCCAATGTGGTCCCGGCTCTTTCCCGGACCCCATGCATAGCGGAGATTACTGCACTGGGCTGCCTTAATGAAATTATTTACCTTATTAGAAAATATCAAAACAAATCTGTTGTAACCATTACCTTGTAAATTTGCACTTTGAAGATTAGCACCAGCTAATACAGCTCCACGAAGGTTTGCTCCAGTGAATTCACATCTTCCCTAGGCAAGACAAAATCACTAAGGTTGCAACTTGACAGTAAAGATGAGCTATAAAATAACATGTGTGCTTAAACAATTCCTTTATACAAATATGTAGAGCCTGTTAAAAGGGATTGTATAGTGGATGAATCTTTAAAAAATCGAACAATGAAAAGATGATTAAATGCAATGCATGATCTACTTATGATGTGGAAACCGAAAGATTATGTTCTTTAGCTTACTCGCGCAATGTGGCATTGTGAAAAATGGAAGCTTCAGCATCGACATCCTGTACCAAAAGTTAAAGACCGACCAAGAAAAAAAAATCATTACTTAGTGACTGAAGTCATGCGCAGATATTAGTATAAGGAGCTTAGAGTGCAACTGTTCCCTGAGCCCTTGTAAACAAGGACTCTACATATACCACCAGCCAACCAAGAGTTCCCTACATAAAAGCTAACTTTTACTTTTACTTTTCCTTTTACGGGATTAGCAATCAAGAGTTTCATTGAAAAGGACAAAAAGATTCCAGCTATGTACAATGGCTACACGAGAAAACATGCGATCTTGTGCACTTAACTTATTTAAGACCAGCTTAGTCCGAAGTATGCCTGCAAGTACCTTACAGCACCAAATGAGGCAATTTGCAAAGACTTGAAATGGCTCAGACTGATTGAAATCATTACGTCTACGCTATATGGAGTCGGGTATGAGATTCAGCTACAGGCAATCAAATAAGATATTACCCTATCATACCCATTCGATGTGGGCACATCAAGCAAATAGAAGAGCATGCAACATAGTTTACTATCTCCAAAACTTCTTTTACACAACATAAGACATCCAATCTTGATAAATTATTAAGAAACAACCACTTATCCAAAAGAATGTGCAAATACCCCTGAGCAAGAGACAATTTGCAAAGAAGACTGGAAATCGGTGAGACTGATTTGGGATCCTTATCGTCTATATATTATTACATGGACTGGGGTATGAGAATCTGCAAAAGGTATGGATCCAACAAGGTATTACCGAGGCCATACCTATTCAACGCGGGCATTTCAAGACAAAAAGGAGAGTCCATATGACATAGCTTACCCCTCTCAATAACTTCCTCCTCCTTCCCATACAGTAATATAGTTACCGCACTCAAACAAGGTTACAAGCCTTTGATCAAGCTGGCATAACCTAGTCAAATCCCAGTCCAGCCATTTTCTTCTAAAATTGGCTGCTAAGACACTCATCTCCCATCAACACCACAGATGGGACTGAAGCATTCCCAATTAGCTCCAGTTAAGTACTCTGCTAAAGTAGACATTGCAACACTTCAGAACACAATCCTTAATCTTGGAAAAGTAGATAACACTAGAACTCCTTTTTAGCCAAACAAAGCCAAAGCGAGGGCTTAGCAAATTCCAAGTTTTCTCCCTTCCTCTTACCAAACCGAAAACGAATAGCTCATCCAAAGATTGTGGAGTGCTACTTTGTTCTTCTCAGAATTGTATATTCTAGATTATAAACTATTATCACAAGTGTAAATAAAAGAAATGCAATGCTAAAGTTAAAAGGCGACCACTCTCCCAAAGGTATTATGACTGCGTAAATATATAGTAACATTCTCAATGATCTGCACACTAACTGCAGTTGAAAATTCAGCAACTTTCAATTGAGAAATAATACCCTGAATTTTGCACACTGAAGATTGGCACGCGAGAAGAACACGGTTTTCAGACATGCATAGCTGAAGTCCACAAATGACAAGTCCTGCACATAAAACAGGCACCATTAACTAATTAAAAACTTCTAGAAAAATAGCACGAATAATGGCTTCTCCTAACTTGCCAAAGAGGAGTAACACAGAAGAAAGAAAGCTATTATGATGCCACCAAGATGGGCTTCCTTTTCTAAGAATTTTCACCTTTTTAAGGAACCTAGATAACAGTGGAAGAGAAAAAGCTTTTTTCACATGGCATCCCGAGATTGAATTCTCCAATTCTGGAGATACTTAAGTTTGGAACCCAGAGCCATTGGTAGTCTTTACTAACAAATTCTCCCCAGGCATTGTTGAATCACATACCTCTATAGATTTTACCTCAGCCCCTTCACCTGAAATGCAATTTGCCCCTAATATGTAATTTGCTTCATCCCTATTTTATGGTAGACTCAACCCCGGAGAAGATATTATGCAAAAATAAGTATTAGCAGGATTTGTGCAATAGTAGTAGCGTAACTAATTCACATCTCTTTCTATGAGTCCATTTGCAATGCAATTGTGCCCGACTTTGGAATATTAGGGAGATATATTACAAACCAAAAATAAAAAGAATAATGAATTGGTGGATATGTTGCTTGGCCACATCGACCCGTAACTAGTTATTCTCTGCCTTGTGCTAAGGCTTCTGTCATGAACTCGTCGGCTCATAGCAAAAAGAGAGATACTAGGAAATGCACTTTGCTACCTGTCTGTTTTCTGGTGCATTTGGGTACAAATGAATGCTAACTCTTTTAGGATCATTATCTCTCACAAGACCATCTCTAGAATAAAGTAGTCTTTCTATAATCTTTGTGGAGTAAGGCCACAGGACATTTTTTAAATTCTACAGGAGATCAAACGTTGTATTCTGAATTTCCCCTTTTTCTTAATGTAAGACTTGAGGACAACTTGTCCTTTCTTGTACCCTCTTTATCTCACAAAATTTTTGCTCTCTTATTCATTTATATATTGATAAACATCATTAAAAAAAATTTAAAAAAATAGGATGAGGACGATGATGCCCCTATAGAGGAAAGATGAAGCATAAATTCTTTGTCAAGTACAACAACAACATACCCAGTATATTCCAACAAGTGGGGTCTGGGGAGGGTAGTGTGTATTCAGACCTTGCTCCTACCTTGTGCAGGTAGAGAGGTTGTTTCCAAGAGACCCTCAGCTCGGGTAAGTACAGTAATCAGTAAAGAAATGTAAAATATAAAAATGAATAAGTTATGAGAAGAAAGCATAAGCAATAGTGAGATTTAAACAAAATGAACCAGAAGCAATAATAGGTAATAATATGCAAAGAATAAGCCACAACTAGCGTAATGCTAAAGCTACCAGTAAGAAAGGGAAGTACACTATACTACCTACTAACCTTCTACCCTAATCTTCGACCTCCACAACTTCCTATCAAGGGTCATGTCCTCAGTAGGCTGCAGAAGCGCCATATCATATGTAATCACCTCTCCCCAATACTTCTTAGGCCTCCCTCTACCCCTCCCTAGACCCCATGTGCAACCTCTCACACCTCCTTACTGGGCCTCCGGACATCTCCTCACATGCCTGTACCATCTCATTCTCACTTCCCGCAGCTTATCCTCCGCGGAACCACCCCCCACCTTGTCTCGAATAACTTTATTTTTTGTTGTCTCTCCTAGTATGCTCACACATCTATCTCAACATCCTCATTTCCGTTACTTTCAACTTCTGGACATGAGAGTTTTTTACAGGCCAACACTCCGCCCCATACAACATAGCCAGTCTAATCACCATTCTGTAGAACTTATCTTTAAGTCTTAGTGGCACCTTCTTATCATACAAGACACCGGAGGCAAGCCTCCACTTCATCCATCCTACTCCAATACGGTGTGTGACATCCTCACCGATCTCCCCGTCACCTTGGATTACTGACCCAAGGTACCAGAAAATATCCGGTTTTGGGTAAGAAGCACTCCAGAGAGTGTAGATTAAGCAAACGTATCAGCAAATAAGAGCATAAAGAAATGAAATAGTGTAGCACTAGAGTATATTACCAACTTCGAAAGATCGAGACCAGAAAGATTAATTCCCCGAAATCTGACTCTGTCAGATTGTATGCATTTGATAATATCAATGCGTGTCAATTCGGTACCCAACTCCTCATCCTCCTTCCTCTTACTCAGAACAGCTTTAACTTCATCTACTAGTCCCTGAAATGAAACAGGTAAACTGAGTAGTTTTAACAACTTCAAGGACACACAGAAACCCCATACGAAGAGTATTTAGCTGCAAGTAAATTCTTGTAGCTCTCGAAATAGCTGAATTATTTGATAAGGTGAATAAGTTTATTATTTCTGGGAAGATCTCCCATATAAAAACAAAAACAAAAATTAGAGAATCTATAACAGCTCTCAAAAAAGTTGAATTCCAAACAGCATCCGCTATTCAGTAGAAATAAAGATTATCTGACATCTCTATACCTTTTAACAGATATATTCAAGAGAAACATTCACGAAAAAAATCAAATCACAACTAATGAGTAGTTGCATTGATATCAATGTTTTGGGAACCATGACAGCTAGCGCTTTGGTTCACTACAACCTCAGGAAAACAGAACGGTTTATAAACCAAGCAAATCTCAACCAACCTCAATCTTTATCTCAAATATCTCAATGGTCTATGACAAAAAAGGGTCTTGTTCCATCTGGAGAGGCTATTTAACATGCTCCTACATCCTCAAGAAACATAAACAAATAAATGAAAAGTATATCATCTACATGAAACACCAAAAAGTTAATGAAATAGGATCTCCAAGGCAGTGAAAGAAGTAAGAGAAGCCATTGCAATTATTCTCTGCTGCAATGCATACGCACATGGTTCAAGCAAACAAAATCTGCCCTTAAATCTTAATGAACGCATCCAATGTGTACTTTATAATACATAAGTGCACAATGAACAATTAAAGAGAAATGGATTTACAAGAAGCTGATAGTACTCCGCCTCTCGCAAAAGCTGAGCATATTCAGAGTCTTTCAAAGGTGGAATTACACCATCCCTCAACCAATTTAGGATATGGCGAAAATTCTTTCCGTCCCTGTCAACGAATATGTATCCCTGCAATAACACATCGAAAGGAGATCTGAAGTCGTGAAAACATAGACCATAGATTCCCTTTCTCAAAGATCAACATGAAGGAATATAAGCTTGATGCCTACCAAAGATAATAAATATATTTGACGAGGAAGAGATATAAATAATATTTCCTCAAACAAAATATCAAGCTAATACCAATGAACAGAGCATCCCAGCAAATTTCTAATATGCATGCATAGACATCGTATCATGGTAACCAAAACCAAACCAGTGTTGTAGGACCCTGCGCAACTACACAGTTTATCTTGAACTGTCCAAGTTTGAATTACTAAAAGACCAAAAATATTGATCCTATGAGAACATTAGAACAAAGCAACTGAGCTTATCCACGAGAATAGTGCACCTTGGTGGGAATACCAACATATAATTACACAGCAGAGAAAAAAAGAAAAAAGAGCAGAATAAGAAGATAAATGTAAAAATGTAACAGAATTCGGAGCTTATGCACATGCTTTTATTTTTTGGATGAGGTGCAGCTTATGCACATGCTTGTTCATGTATTCATGTAAATCTGTTACAAATAATGCATCTTGAACTGAAATTGCAATACTCCAAAGAAAATTAAAATTCTTAAAGCAAGTGGTGAAAAGATTGGTATTTTTATTTCTACAACTACAAGAATACAAAATAGACATCGTTAATACAATAACGTTGTCATCGCTAGCTCTATCAATCTTTAACTCAAGATAATTCCTTGTCTCATTTTTTTTTCATAATAATATTTTTTATTGATGTTATGGGGTAAGAAACCCGATAGTATATTAAATAGTAGAGAACCTACACAAACTGTGATTAATACGAAAGATATCCAATAATCTATCTCATGGGTGCACCAAAAACTAATAAACAAAATGGATATTCTAACATGTGCAAAATTATTTTCTTTATCACATACATTAAGTGAAGATATGGCCTAACTCAACCCCAGAAGCTAGGCGGAAATGATTGCCCAAGTCTATAAAAGTAGACCACCAACCCATTCCCTAGTTAGTATGGGACTCTAACCCCAAAAGCTAGCTCATGAGGAAAAGATTGCTCAACTCTATATAAGAAGACGACCAACTCATTCCCAATCAGTGTGGGACTCTAACCCAATCTAATATCCGAGGTCATCAAAACTGCTAGGGCTCAAAAATTCTTCTTTCTAGTTTCTTGTTAAACTTTTCTGAGCAGATTTTGATTCTTTTGGTGTTGTTCGATTTCTTTGATACTCAGTATTGTGTTGGGGCTGCCTGATTGGTGAGGCTTCTCTCTTTAATTAAAATTTTCATTCTGTTGGGAATTTCCTCTGTTGGGTCAGATTCGTCTGATCCGTTTGAATGGTTTATTGGTTTTGTTCCAGAGAAGTTTTGTTGGGTCAGATTTGAAACTTTTGGGTGCCATGTTATCTCGAATGATATTTATCTTATCCTCAAATATTAGCAGTTTGGGTTGCTATTTTGTGAAGCTTTGATATTCTCTGTCGTGAGAATCCTTGATTAAGAAAATAGTTAAGGTTGTTGTTGCTAATAGGCTATCATCTACTAAAACAATTCTGGTCTCGGCGGATGAGTTTGCAAAATTCTCTCAGTATCGAAAATCACTTAAGGAATCCACTTCGGTTACTACCCTTGCTGAGTCACGTAACACATGTATTATTTCCTCTTCAAGCAAGTGGGTGATTGATTTAGGCGCCACTAATCACATGACAAGTAATCCTAATATTTTTTTCTAGCTTTCAGGCACATAAAGCACCCTCTTCAAGCACTCTCTCCAGTTACTGTAGTTGATGGGTCAACCTGTAGCATTGTGGGATCTGGACTATTAAACAAACCTCCAATATTACATTGTATTAAGACTATCAAAAGTCGCCTTTAATCTTATTTTTGTGAGTAGACTTACGAAGGAGCTAAATGGTTCTATCGTATTTTTTCCTTTTTTTCCTGATCATTGTCTACTTCAGAATCTTGTGATGAAGCAGATTATTGGTAAATGACTATATTTGATGGTCTCTACATCCTTGATGAATGGATGTCTCTGTTGCTTGTTCTAGTGTCTTATCTCCATTTGAAGCACACTGTTAGTTCGGACATCTCTTTTTCCCTATGTTGAAAAAGCTTTGTCCTCAGTTTTATGATGTTCCTTCATTGGATTGTGAGTCTTGCCAGTATAGAAAACACCATCGTAGCTCGTTAAGTCCAAGGGTTAATAAACAAGCTGAGTTTGCTTTTGAGTTAATTCATTCTTATATTTGGGGACCATGTCATGTCATTATCCAAAACTGGATATAAATATTTTGTTACCTTTGTGGATGATTATTCTCGAACGACTAGGATTTATTTTATGAAGAACCAATTGAAGTGTATTCCCACCTTTGTGCCTTTTGCGCTAAAGTGAAAACTCAATTTAGTGTTTTTTGTGCACATACTAAGGAGTGATAATGCTAAAGAATATATGTCAGACTCATTTTAGACCTACATGAAAAAACACGAGATTCTACACCAGACAGCTTGTGTTGATACACCCTCTAAAAATGGAGTTGTTGAGAGGAAGAATAGGCATTTACTTGAGACAACTTGGGCACTGCTAATCCAAGAAAAGGTTCCCAAACAATTTAGGGCCGATACGGTCTCTACGGCTTGTTTTCTTATTAATCGCATGCCATCTAATGTGCTTGTTGGTGGTGTGCCTTATAGTGTTCTTTTCCCAAACAAATCAATATTTCTAGTGGAGCCTAGATATTTGGAAGTAAATGTTATGATCGAGATGTCTGACCATCTATTACCAAGTTAGCCTTTTAAGTGTATTTTCTTGGGCTATTCTCACCTTCAAAAGAGTTATCATTGCTACTCTTCTAAATTTGACGATTATCTTGTATCAACTGATGTGGTATTTTTGGAGAGTACACCGCTCTTTTACGCAACTCCTATTTCTACAAGTCAGGAGAAGGAAGATGGGTGGTCAATCCACCAAGTCACTAGTTCTTTGCATGAACAATCAGTTGATGATGTTTCTTCTACATCGTTCAGGTATTCTATTGAGCAACATCCGACTATTGTGTCTCATGAGTCAGCAATTACTCTATCTACTCCATCAAGATTGTTAATTGTTCAAGTTTACTCAGGTGAGAGACCAATGATATTTGTCTTGCGTCAGTTACTTCATCACTACATCCTCCTCAACTTGATCCTTGTACCCAAAGGTACACGTCGGTGCAAATTCACATATTCCATTGCTAATTTTATTTATGACTACCACTAATCTCATGCGTCTAGTTATTTGATTGGCTCTCTGGACTCCATCTCTGTACCCAAAACAAGAAAGCAGACCTTGAACCATTCTAGATGGTGTGGTGCAATGCTTGAGGAGATGCATGCTATAGATAAAACCACACTTGGGATTTGGTGAATTTACCCAAAGGAAAGGAAGCAGTAAGATGTAACAGTGTTGTCAAAGGCGAAAAGTTAAGGCCTGTTGGGCTTAAAGCGCAAATAAAATGTGGGCTTTAACGAAGAAAGGTGCAAATTGAGAAAAACCACAAATATGTATGTGTAATCCAAGACTAATATCTATAAGCAAGAATACCAAATATATGGACAAAGAATTAAAAGAAAATTTACATTAAAGTAAATATCAATTGTTCAACGTCGCCTCTTCAGTATTACGCTCATTGGCAAGGAAAAGTATGTTTTAGAGCCTTGATGACAACAGTGAAGCGCCCGCTAAGCGAGGCTGCTAAACGAGGCGAAGCGCTCAACATGTGTTATGAGCCTCGCTTCAAGGCTTAAGCGTGCTTTAAGAGCGCCTTTGATAACACTAGATGTAAGTGGGTCTTTGAATTAAAAGTTTAATCTGGATGGCTATGTGACAAGACTTACGGCAAGAATTGTGGCTAAAGGATAATGCTCAAACTAATGGCGTGGATTATTCAAACACCTTCTCCCCAGTGGCCAAACTCACTTTCGTCCGCTTGTTCATTTTCGAAATTGCTTTTGAACATTGGCTTTTACATCAATTGGATATCAAAAATGCATTCCTTCTTGGTGATCTCCATGAAGAGGTGTATATAGAGCACCACCCGATTTTGTTGCTCAGGGGAAGTATGGAAAAGTATGTCATTTGAAGAAGTCCTTATATGGCTTGAAGCTAAGTCCTCGGACTTGGTTTGGCAAGCTTTAGCGGTCGCTCAAGAGACTAGTTTGAGGCAAAAATGGAGGATGTAGTTTAAGGAGGGGGATTCTAATACAAAAAAAAATCATAGGGTTGCGGTAGCGAATAAGAGAGGAACTTCGTTGACTCCTTAAAAGTGAATGGAGTGGTGTTTGAAAGGGAGGATGAAGTTAAGGGGGCTATTGTTAGTTGTTCAAGGAAGATGTGACATGCAGACTAAATTTGGGGGAATAGTGTTTTGTCAAATAGGGAAAGGAAAGAGATAGTGGTTGGAAAGGGCAATAGAAGAAGAGGTGAGGGAAGCGGTGGTGAGTTGTGCGGGAGACAAGGCTCCAAGACCAGATGGTTCACTTTAGCTTTTTTCCAACAACGTTAGAAGATAGTTAAGGGAAAGTTGATGGAGACTATTGCGGATTTCCAAGATTCTGGAGAGGTCAAGCATAACTGCAACTCACAAAGTCAAACAAGTGCAGGATATTCATGCAGAAGTCAAACAAAAACTTGAGGAGACTAATTCCCAGTACAAGGCAGCTGCCAATAACATCGTTGCTTATAGACCTTTGAAGAAGGAGATGATGTTATGGTGTTTTTGAGAAAAGAAAGGTTTCCATTGGATACTTATAACAAAGCTCCAACAAAAGAAGTATCATCCTTATCGCATCCAAAAGAAAATCAATGATAATGCCTATATGGTCGATTTGTCGGACACCATGAAAATTTTCAAGATTTTTAAAGTAGCTGACCTTTCACCTTATCATCCATCTAAGGAACCACTCTACTTGGAAGCTGCAGTCAACTCGGGGATGAGTTCTTTCCTGGAAAGGGGAGAATTGATGCAGAAGATCAAGCAGAGAATCAAATCAATGCAGGAAATCAGGCAGAGAATCAAATCAATTGATTTAGGGAATTTCCAATTGGGAGATTCTTTCCTGAATAGTATTACAACAATCTTGGGTGGAAGGATTTAGTGGACCTTAGCTTTTATTGCATTTGATTTTCTATTCATCAAGTAATGAGAAGATTCTAGTATTGGGTGTTGGCCAATAAATAGTCCTTTTAGCAACTACTGTAATTAAGTAAATAACAATTCTCTCCTTAAGGTTTCTCTGTAAACACTTGTATCTTCTCTGTTTAAGCTTTGCCAAGAGCAAGCTTTGTTGATAGACTATTCGTGAAATAGTCTTTCTACCAATCTAATTGTTTCTTGTTTACTCGTCCTACATCAAATTTTGTTATATATTGTACTCAGTTGTCTTACTTTTTCCACTCAAGGGTTTGGCTTTTCCAATTGTAATGTATGGCAGGAAGTACCCCACTTCATATTATTATAAGTGGTGTGAGATAGAGTAGAACTTCAAGGGATAAGATCAGACTCCAATCCTCTCAGGTAATGTAAAATACTCAAAGTTTCACAAATTGAAGAAAAAGGCTAACTTGCTATCCTCCTTCCTTAACTATGAATGATGCTCTTCCCTAACTATTTTGAACATCTGAGGGTCAATTGTGACATGCCTCCAGAAAATAAACGAGTGAGTGCATGCATAGTATGTATATACCTTCTCTGACTCCTGGCAGATAGTGTGACGGCCACTAAACATAGCAGCAAGCATCGAGTCCGGCTCTCGCTGCGTGAGGGTATCCAGTGTTGTGCAAAACTTCTTCCCTCCTTTAAATAAGAATTATAGGATCACCGAAAGGAGATTGTGTGTGAGAAAAATGACAAGGCAAAATCCTACAGTAATATTTCTGCATGACAAATTCTTCAGCATTGTCCTTTCGTATTCAAGTAACAATATGAAGACATTTAACATATTAATTGTTATACTCATCTCAGACCCAAATAGATTTCTGCTTCTAATATTGCATCTTATGCTTCATTTACTGTACAGTGAGAAAATGGAAACCTATGAATTAAAAGAAACAAAGAGTACTACTTGTAAGATAGTTCCTAAAGGATTCATCGTATGTACGGTGACAAAATTGGAAGATAGTGCAGAAAGGCCAGAAATCAGCTTTTTGTCTAAATTTAAATATGAAATAGAATAGCTGTACATTACGATTCAAATCATCAAATGTCTAAGCATAAGAGCGAGGGAGGGAGGGTATACCGATATTCAGACGAACCATGGAAGAGGAGGAGCTATCGGAGTGATCGGCCATTTTCGCTTCCTTCCTGGGGTTGGATTTGAGGTCCGGGATGGATGATTCAATGCACCGAAACAGACAGCCTCCTTCAGTCGGCGAAGGTGATTCTTCTTTCTAGTCCTCGAAACTTTGGACTCTTGCCCCTATTTGTTTTAAGTAATTTTCACTTTAACCCCTATACTTCCCGTATTTAGGGTTACTCTACTATAAGCAAAAAATAAATTCCTCCTCTTAATAAGTAATTTTTCGAAAAACACTTCGGATTAAAGCAACTTGTAAAAAAGAACATTTTTTGTTGGCCAAACATTCCGTAAGACTAATTCAATTTTAAAGAGTGTAGTATTGAAAGTTATTGCATAAAGTTTACTCTTATTGTTTGGCATAGGTCTTGTGTTTTTATACGAGAAAGTGACAGAAATAGGACATTATAAGAAGTGTATTAATATTTGGCCTTTCTGGTAGGTCACCTACCAATGGGCAAACTTTCAAGGTCAAAAATTAAAAGTTTTGTTAAACTTGAAGTTTTGGTCATTGGTCATGTGACTTGGCTCCGAGGTCAAAAGTTCGAGATTAGCTTCTTCCAAGGTTATTTGTGTCATTGACTTAATCATTATCATCATCAAGAGGAGTAATACTTTTTTGTTCGTTGGGTTCTATTTATGCAATGATTGTACAATTATAGAATTTTGATATTAATGGAGGTTATTTGGGAGATCATACATTACTTATTATACATAAGAATTTCAAACCAATTATGAGAAGTGAGTATAGTGATTTCTCGTACATATTGAGATGTGCATTTTTTTTTACATCTTTATAGAAATTGAAATAATCATCCAAAAGGATGACTTGACGGTTTTAAAGATTAAGTGGGCGTTTGGACATAAGAATTGTAAAATTTCAAAAAAAAAAATCAAGTGAAAATGGTATTTGAAAATTAGAGTTGTATTTGGACATGAATATAATTTTGGGTTGTTTTTGAAGTTTTGTGAGTGATATGAGTAAATTTTGAAAAACAGCTTTTTGGAGTTTTTTAAATTTTCGAAAAATTCCAAAATGCATCTTCAAGTGAAAATTGTAAATTTTATGACCAAATGCTGATTTCGAAAAAAAAATAAAATTTTATCAAAAAAAAGTAAAAAATTTCTTATGTCCAAACGGGCTCTAAGTAACAACCTTTGAAACTAAAGTTTATATTTTATTAAGTGAATTCTTCTCATCTTCTTAAATCTTACTCGATAAAATTACTTATGCGCTTGATAAATGATGAAAAATGCATATTATTTGGTGTACTTTCATGTCATAACTTATGTGAATATGGGAGGTTACATGAGTTTTTGTAGTGAATTATGCTCATTACGTGCATTCTTATGTGTAGGAGCAAGTTGGACGAAAGGTGAGGAAAAGAAGTTGATTCGGGATCAAAAGACAAAAGAAGAACTTTGCTCGTTCATTCTCGCGTGCACACGAGAGAGTGAACGAGCTAGTTGAGGGGAGCTTGAAAAAAAAAATGGCAGATTATAGCAAAAAGTTATAGAAGTGCACGAGAGACCTAGAAGAAAAAGAAAAATAGAAGAACTTCGCTCGTTCACTCTCGTGTGGGCACAAGAGAGTGAACGAGCTAACCTAAAAAGACTGTTCCGAAGTGTGATTGTATTAATTTGCCCCATGCAAACCCTATCACATATAAATAGTCCTTAAACTCACTTTAGGAGGGGGTATTTGACCTAAGGAGGCAAGAACACACAAGGAGCAAGGCGGAGAATTCTTCTACGAGTTTTTCACTTTCTTATTCCTATTTCTATTGTTGGTTATGAATTCTAGTGTTTTAATTTTACATACTTTTATGAGTAGCTAATTCTGTTATCTAGGGTTTTGATGGAATATTTTGTAGGATGAATTCTTGATACGTTTTGATATAATTGAGTCTTCGAATTTTTATATTTGTTCACGTGCTTATTTTAGTTAATTGAAGAGCTCTCAATTGACTGTGCCTATTTATTATATATTGCTTGAAAAAGAGTGCATATATAGGTGATTGTTGAACAACGTCACTCCTAACGTATATGACATATCAATACGGCGGGTTTAAAAGCGGGATTAGAGATAACGAACCTTTGACGTGATCATAGTGAGTGGCGAAAAATTACGAGCCAACATAATTCGAAAGAATATGACTAGTACATTATTGTAGTTGCTCGAGAGAGAATTACGATAAGTCGAGTGCTCATGATCAAGAGGGAATAATTAGGCGAAATTATAAAATACGTAGCGGGAAGGATTCCGACATTTGGGGAAATTACAACTCTAGAAGTTCTTAATCTTGTCTCCAACCCTTAGTATCTTTAGTTATTAACTTAGTACTTAAATTTGTTAGTTAAATAGTTAAACATAAGAATCTTAATATTTATAACTTAAAAATTGTTCGAGCTTACTTTCTTAGTGATATTGAAACCATAGTTCTCTGTGAGATTCGACTCCGAACTCTTAGATCGGATTATATTTGTAGCGATCGCTTATTATATTTAGGACTAGAGTTGGGCGTGATCAAATTTTGGTGCCGTTGCCGGGGAACTAACGGCGTATCTATAGGTGTAAATATTGTTAGGGTTCAAGTTTGATCATCAATTTTATTTTATTTTATTTTAGTTTAGTTTATTTATTTTATTTACGAAAAGTGGCCAAAAATGCCCCTAGCGTATTGAATATGGCTCATCATTGCCCTCAATTAACCTTTCAGACTATAAATACACTCAACGTTCTATTTTGGCTCAAATTTGCCCCTAAAACTAACTGACAACACTTGGTAAAAATTTGGGTTGTCAAATAGCTATGTGTCACTTCCACAGTATGCCACGTATAATATCAAGGTCAAAACAAAAACCCACCCATATGTAAGATAACCCAACCCGCCTGACCCCTTACCCATTTGTCAAAAATCAAAATAACCCCCAATACATAACTCATTCTATCCAAGACTTATAGCTCTCGGTTATTTACTTTGAACACCCATGAATAACGCGATTTAGGGTACATGGCTTCAATTGAAGATTGTAGATTGTGAATCTGGGTTGGAATTTGAACTATTTTTCATGAAGATTCAATTCCAAGGTCTTAATCATTATAATGCCCATTGTGTTGTGAAGTTGTTTATTTGCGCTCAGCTACTATTATGATTTACTTTCCAAGTGTTCATTATAGAATATAGCAGTGGTGATTCTGGAGTTATTTAATGGCATCATAAGAATAATGTAAATATTATTTTCAACTTTTTGAATTTCAGAAATTCCGACTACTACTTTGGTCTATTCTCTCATAAAATGCATATTGTACTTGGATCTGCATCTGACACCTCAATCTTTGGGAAGACATTTTTTCAATTTATTTTCTCGATCACCTTCTTGAAATGGCATCTGCTGAATATGGTGTCAGATGTGAACTTGCAAGTGTCTTGTGCTTTTGAATCTCAAATACTACCCAACGTTGAAAAGTTTAACATAAAAACTCAAATATGTAGTGCTCTATTTTAACATATCCCCATTGACATTCTAACTACATAGCTTCAAATATGCAGTTCTAACGAGGAAGAAGGAAAGGGGTCGGGATTATTTTAACAAATGGGTAAGGGGGTTAGGCGGGCTGGGTTGTTTAATATATGGGTGGGTTTTATTTTTTACCTTGATATTACACATGTCATACTGTGGAAGTGCCACATAGCTATTTAACAGCTCAAATTTTTATTAAAGTGCAGCCAGTTAGTTTTAGGGGCAAATCTGAACCAAAATAAAACGTTGAGGGTATTTATAATTCGAAAGATTAACAGAGGGCAATGGTAAACTATATTCAATACATTAGGGGTATTTTTGTACCTTTTCCGTTTTATTTATGATATGAGAAACATGGCATCTTAGAATTTGGGAGTTTGGATGTTAATAGTTCTACTTTTGATCCTCTTAATGCTTCTTGTGGAGGAAATCACCCATGGAAAAATTATCAAAATGATCCCGAAAATGAGTTATGTGCACCAACTCAATCCTATATGTGGAATGTATGTGATGTGTGTGGTGGTCAAGATGGTCACTTTTACGGTTGTACTTATAATTATAATCCTTCCCCAACCCTTTATTATGATGGTTTTACTTTTTCTTGTGAGGCTAACATTAACAAAGAACTCGGGGGAGCTTCCCTGAAGGAGAACAAAGATATGATAAAGTGCCTCATGGAACAAAATAATGAGAAACAACTGCAAATACAAAGGCAACGGGATACTATCGAAAGTCAAGAGTCAATTATTCGCGACTTGGAGGCTCAAGTGAGTCAACTGATTGAAGTTTTTAATGCTCAACAAGCCAATATTGTGGAATGTATGTTTTGAAAGATCATTATCCAGGCAACCCAAGTTTGGAGAGTGTTGGGAAAAAAATCAAAGAAAATACAAAAAAAATGAAAAAAATAGAAAATACCCTATTCCTCTTAATCCGGACTAGTGAATGCATAGTTGTGCTTAAAGAAGAAGGGCCAAATTATATATGATTTCGTGGCTTTGCTTGAATTAGTCATGAAGATTGTGTATTTGAAAGTTAAGTGTAATTTAATAAAGTATTTAGGAGGGTTAGTTACCATACCCAAGGGTTATATGAGTTGTTGGTATGTTTGGTTGAGGCCTCGGGGACCTCAGGGGTGTTTCGGATGCCCATCGGAAGGAAATTTGGACTTAGGCATTGCTGATTTTTTTCTGGTGTTCTGGTGTTTCGCACCTGTGGTGGGAGCCCGCAGAAACAAAGAGGAGGATGCAGATTTGAGCAAGGCTAGGTTGGAATGGAAGCGCAGGTGCGAGGTTAGGAGCGCATCTGCGAAACCGCAGATGCGGAAGGGGAGGCGCAGATGCGGAAGAAGGCCTGAGTGGGATGGATCGCGGAAGCGGGCAAGGTCTATAGGTGAGCACCCGCATGTGCGAATGAGTGACCGCAGATGCAGAGTCTGGGAACTTAAGTGGGATTCACACCTGCGATGGAATTTCCGCAGGTGCGGCGTCGCAGATGCGACAGAATGTCCGCAGGTGCGGAAGAACTGGGCAAAAAATGAAACTTCGAGGGTTTGATTCCCATTTCGATTTTTGG